ATGTTAAATAGCATCACCTTGGCCATTCCCTGTAATTGCTAGAGAAACACACACATATCAATATATATTAGTAAATCATTAGTCTCTGATTTTATATATATATATATATATATATATATATACAGGCTATACTGTATGCAATTCTTCAAACTAGCTAACACTTTTTACATGTAATAGTAATATGAAGGATAATAAGCAAAAGAAATGTAATAACTTAATACTGATCTGAACTGATACTGATACGCTGTCCATTCGGTGGCGCTAGCAAACATGTCCTCCCTGCGCTGTCGAGTCGGTCGCGCAGCTCGGTCCATTGAGCCGCGCCTTTGACAGGTCAGCGTGGCGCGAACTCTTTAAAGGGGTCATATGATGCATTTTCAATTTTTCCTTTCTCTTTGGAGTGTTACAAGCTCTTGGTGCATAAAGAAGATCTGTAAAGTTGCGAAGACTAAAGTCTCAAATCCAAAGAGATATTCTTTATAAAAGTTAAGAGTCAGCCACGCCTACCTAAAACGGTTCGTTCTAACACACCCCCACATATCTACGTGACGATGTGGGAAGATTTGCATAACGCAGCCCAAATGTCCCGCATAAACGCATTTCATTACACCAAATACACAAAATAATGTTCTTTTTAGCAACATCATATGACCCCTTTAATACAGCGCTGTTTCATCCCACTTTTGGTGTGTTTGGCTTCCCATAGTTTTGAGTGGCATTGAGTGCAGTTCTTTCGCTGCAGCAGCAGACACGCGCCATAAGAAAATATGTGAGTGGAGACATTATCACGCTAGTATCAAAAAAGCAAGCCTAATGTGGTAGTGCGGCCAAGACGCGAAACAACTAATTTAGCATATTTTTACTAACATCCCGAGCCTCCGTTACTAATAATTCCAAAACGTCATTTTAATGAAATCAGCTATATTTTTACATGTATAAAGATCCACTTATGCTGTGTGAGAGATTTTCTCACACAGCATAAGTGGGTCTACATGCAAAAATATAGCTGATTTTATTATTTAGGAAGGGAATTATACCTCCTGCAAGAGGATTTGAGGATTTTGCATGTGAAAAACAAAAGTTTTATACAAATACAAGTAGAAATATAAATTATTATTATTTAATTATATATTTGCCTTTTTATATACTGTCCTGAAGCCAAGCAAATTTAAGAAAATATTATCTGGAAATATGTTTTTCCAATTATTATTTTTTCTACCCACTTACATAAAATAAAACATTATTCAGATGTCTCTGTGACGCACTTTTCACAATGAATAAAATTCCAAAGCAACATGTTGAAATTATATATAATAATGCAGTCGACAGACCTGGGCTGGAACAACCTGGAAGTCATGCAGTAGACTACTTGAAAAAAACATCTGTCAGCCAGTTTTAGAGTGCACTGTTTTAATATCACTAAGTTACTAATAAACCAACAATAACTTTTTTTTTTTTTTTTTTTGGTGGTGGGTTGGGGCAACTGGATAATAGTAAACCACGTTTTCCTTTAGAACTACACCACTGGTGCATGAAGGGCTTGAGTCTGTGGTGAAGTGTTTTCATTTACAAAATCAAAGAAAACACACTCCTTTATGTGCTTTATATAACTGCTGTATATTAAAGAGTAGGGCTGGGACAATAAATTGATGCATCGCGAATCGAGAAATTATTCCGCATCGATTCTGAGATTTTCTGAAGGCATCGCAATTCTCTCTTGAATCGATTCTGAGCTTACTTTTGAACAGCAGATGGCACTGCGTGCTTTAGAAATAGCCGTATTATGCTTGCTTAAAGTCCCTTACACATGCACCATTTGAACCTAAAATAATCATTCATAAAGTTTTAAAAGGTTGAAGCAAATTACAAGGATGTTCACAGTGGGCTGTGTTTACATTAATCTCACATCATAAAAGCATAAAAGCCGATGTGCAAGTACATTTAACCACTTTCATTACTCACTGCACATTTAACCACTTACATTACTCACTGCACATTACGAATGCACAAGCGCTCTTCTTCGTGAGCATTTGAGTGTGTGGTTGAAAACTAGCCTAGAGCGCCATCTGCTGTTAAAAACTAAGCTCTGAATCGATTCGAGAGAGAATCACGATGCATTCCGAAAATCTCAGAATCGATCCACGAATCGCGATGCATCGATTTATTGTCCCAGCCCTATTAAAGAGTTATTTACAAGTTTCACATAAGAGTTTATACATGCAGCACAAATATGAAATCGTGCATCCAAAGTGATGAATGGTGTTTTTTGTTTTAAAATAAATCTTAAGAATGCAAACCTTTTGAAAAATTTCCTATGAATATTTCTCATAAATTTTAAAATACTGTATTTTATATATCATTTGGATTTTAAATCAGACATGACTTTATTGCATATAGGCCTACAATTATTTATCCTTTACAAGGATTACACATAATAAATTTAAATAAAACAAAATTATAGCAAATGAAGAGACTTGACAAATATTTCATGCTTTTAAAAGGCACTGTTGATCGGTTAATGTTTTATATACATTTGTAATGATAGAGAAAATCCTTAATTTACTGACAAATGCTCAGAGTTTTATTGGACTTGTTTTGTTAAATATTTGTTTTAATGATCAGTGTGATGATATGTGGACCTGACAAACAAGCGAGCGAACACGCACACACACACACACACGCACACAGCACTGTTTACATTAATCTCTCATTTCATGCAGCGAGAAACTGAAAATTTCTGAGCTGGAGAGTGTGCTAGCCATTAATCACTGGCTCTAACGCTCTCAGGGTCGAGAGCATTCAGCCTCAAGCCGATTATTGCTCATAAATAAGTACAACAGCCCTGGGCACTCTAGAAGACTATTAGCATATGACAGGGCCAATCAACGAAGCAGTTATCATATTACATTGGGGCAGCCCCCCTCAAGTTGCATGTTAATGTCTGCAGGGATGTTTAATATAGATCTATGTCCAATAGACTGCACACAGGGGACAAGAATAATTAAATATTGCAAAACAAATGTTCACGGGAATGTGTAGGAAAAAAAAATAGCAAGGCACCAATGATTCCAGTTAGACAGATATGGTTATATTTGTGTATGGAGCTGACAGTTGGATGGGGTCAAACGGGACCAAACTGTGAGCTCTTGCTTTTACTAGTGGGCTGTTCAGACACGCTGTGAGATTTTAATTTACAGACACCCTTCTGCTGCTCACTTCACTGTGCACGCGGCACAATTAGCAGCAAACCATTGCGGTCTAAGTCCCTCTAAGCCAGTCAAGCCCATCTAACTCTCCTTGCCCTAGTGAGGCATGGCCGCTTCTGTCAGAACGGCCATTGGATTGAGCGTACTTTATCCTATATTAGAGAACTTTTGGTTATGATTGTTCACACTAGTTCATGCAGTGCATAAATGGAACATGGAATAAACGCCTTTCACGCTTTGCGCTGTTCTTATATGGATCAGTTCGACAGCATGTCCACCAATTAAATTACTTCCCAATTGACTACCAGTAGTACCAACCAAGAAAACATCACGTCAACACACACACACACACACTGAAAAAATATTTGTCTTTAATTTCTGTCCTGTTTGGCCAAACAAACTGATGGTACAAGGTGAATGTAAGGTGTAATTTACATTGGGAGGGTGCATAGGGAGCCCACCTAACGCAAATTAAAACTTCACACACGTAACCTCTAACTGTCTGTGAATTTATACCACCAATTAAGGCTCTCTTTCGACAGTTGTGTGAACAGTTTCATTAGGGGAGATAATACAAAGTGAAATGATAAGCAATCATTATTATAAATCTGCAGACATTACAAGCCATGTTAATGAGGTGTAAATGATCTCATTACTTTTTGAAAGAGTAGAGATTAGATGAAAGAAGAATGGACATGATTCTGTCATGTTCAGAAAACTCAATGCTAATTAGGAACCAGTCTTCTGCAGCCAATGAGGCACAACACTTTGGTAAACAATTGCCATGTTAGCTCTCAGAGAGAGAAAATTAATTAGAATACAGAAAATAAATATCTATCGACAATGAAATACTATATTTATTAGGGTTGTGTGGCATTCAAAAGTGAATTGACATTTCACATTTCAGTTCACATTTAAAAACTGAACTTGAATTATTTTAAATTAGGTAACAAACAAAATGTAGAATTAAAATATAATTCAAATAATTTTATTCAACGGCTATAAGTGTCATTTTTAATCAATCATATTTTATCTAATGACATGGAATTTATAATTGTACACATTTATATATGTATAAAATTGTATAACAATGCAAGGAAAATTTAGTAGGAATTAAAGGTTAAAATACTAATATAAAACTAATTAAAATGAATATTGATTGATGTATTTAATTGTATTAATGTATTTTTAACTTTTTCAAGTATCTGTTGTACATTATTTATTCATTTGTTTGTTTGTTTAGAGTATTTAGGTTAGAGTCTCCATTTAACAATTTACTGAATAGTTCATGTCTGACTTACCAGACAAAAACTGGGAGTGATGTCATGAAATGTAAGTTACTAATGGCAGAATTGCAATGCCGTTTTTTTTTCAATGAAATAAATATGATTAATTCATATGATTCATTCATATAAGTCATCACTGTCAGTTATTTACTAAATAAATCCCCATCAAAAAGGGTGAGTTCTTTAAGCCCATTGTATTAAATGCCTGAATGTGCATGTCTTTATTTGTATGTCACTGTCTATGCAGGATTGTATACTTTAAGTAAAAACTATAAATAATGTTAAAATTATGCAATTGAATGTCCATGAATCTTCCCCTTTGGCATGGCATTTTTAAATCATATAAAACACCTTAGATTATATATGTAACCCGGTTTCCTAAAAAGGCAGTGGGAGTGTGTCATTGCATTGACGCTATGGGAATGTCAATACTAATGCTGCCACACCAAAGGAAAGAGCCTTGGCCAGTCAAGTTTAATCTGGCCACGGCACAAGTTACCACTTCAAGCAGTTCTTCAAATGTGGCAGACCGAAAAGACTGCTCTGCAGAAGCACCTGCCTGCATCCAACTCCCCAGAGCCAGGGACAGACAGCATGAGGTCCTCATTTGGATCTGAAATATCACAGAGCGAGCTTCAAGATCCAAAATAGGGTCCTCTGAGTCCATGGAGAGGGCAAGGCCAACTCGACCTAGCTGCTGCATGGGACCTGAGCTATGGGGTTCAGGTGCTTGACTCTATTCCTTTAGGAAAATAGCCAAGTGGAATTGAAGCTTGTGAATGGTAAACTTTTTGCAATGCACGCAGTCAGACCCTCAAGGACAAATATGCATTTCAGGTATCTATTTATGGCCTTTGTGACACGTTGATCATTCCATATGATCAGCTAATCGATACTGGCGTGTGTACACATGCTTCAGACACCAGTTCACCCGGGAGCGTTCCCATAGTGTCAACGCCATGCATGACACAGCATCAAAGTTCCACTTAGAAAGGGAACTAGTAACATTTGCAACTACATTTTTATTGACTGGTGCTGGGTAATTCATAATAATTTATAAACAATTCATAATAATGCTAGACTAAACTCTAACCTACTTAAACTCTATCCTATTTGTGACCTACTCCCCTTTATAAATCCATTAAAAAGCATGATTTGATCTGATCTGATCCAGTATGTGTTTTTAACAACCTTAATAATAATAATAATAATTGTTACGTTCCACGTGTGTTTTGTGTATATTGTGTTTCTTTTTGCTCTCCTGTCCTTTTTATGTTATTGTTGCTCTGCTTCTAGGTCGGTGTTTATTGGCTGACGTGACTGCCAATCATCATTACGACATCCTGATGTTCTGCCAATCTGCTGACGTGCCAGCTGTATTTGAGGACTCGAGCTGATTGTGTGTGTGTGCGCCATGCCAGCGTACCTCGTGCTCCAACGCGGTCTCCTGATGCTACATGTATCTTGTTTTAGGGAGTCTTGTTTTGTGTTGTGTGTTTTGATCTATTTATAGATTTGTTTCTTAGCTATTGACTTGCATCGAATTCTTCGTAAAAGATATCGAGGATGTCAGTTTTAGAGTTCCAGCCTGATTACATGTCAAGTTTAAAGTTAAGAATGCATGTTGGTGTATCCAGCTACTTAATCACATTTTCCTTTCTGTGATGATTCGAATACTTAGTTGGTCGTTGTTATAATACTGCTTGTTTTGTTTCTTGATTAGGTTAGTTTGTACTCTGTTAGATTAGGATTGTGAGTGTTATGCCACCCTTGTATTTTTGTTTGTAGTTTATGAGAGTTTTAGTTCGGGCGTCGCATACGCTGAAGATTTCGGTTTTATTTTCACATTTCTTTATTTTGGGAGTTAGTTTAGAGGTTAGTTATAAGGATTGTTCTGTTTTGTTTATTTCTTTAATTTGGGTGACACTCCTGTTTTTGTTTTCTTTTCTTTCCTATTGTTAGACTTTGTTAAACTTAAACCACTTGTATCTTCTCCTAATACGTTCAGTAAAGTCTTTTTGAAATACATTTCAGTATCGTCTTTGATCCGCACCACACCCAGTAACAGTTGTCCCACCTAAATGTTACGGTATCATCCCTTTTTAACATCAAGCACGTAACAATAATAAAAATAAGGTACAATATACTTGTTGTGTTCATGTTGCATTACAAAAACATTGCTGCTATTGTGGTGGGACACAGGTAATGTAAAGGACAAGTTTCATAGTATGGTTAGGTTAAATGTTGTGTTGAGGGGTAGGGTCAACAGTGTAATTATAGTGGTAGAATTAAAGAAATTCATTACAGTTGTAATTACATACAGGTTTTATTAATTTTGTATTTATCTATTTTTTTCTTAATGTAACTACAACATTGTATTAAGTGATTTATTTAAATTTTAGTACATATAAGTTAAAGACGCTTAATATAAAATGTCATTAAAAATTACATTAAAAATAAAGTACTTTTATACTTCACTTGTTTATTATCCTCAACTCTAATTATTTTACCCTCACATTACTCTCATTACATTATTTATGTTCTCTCTGCTCTCTCATTTCTTGCCATAGTGTGCTAAATCTTACTATGTCAGTGTTGTTATATTTCTGCTGTTTGTTCCTATTTATTGTAATCTGGTCATTGATCTACTTTCTAGTCTCTGGTCTTCAATTTTATGCCTACCTACCAGCCTAATCTGTCTTCTTCCTGCTTACCCTTTCTGGTGACGATCCTTTGATGCCACTCCAACCTGCTGTTTTTGTTCAGTTCCATCCACCTCTTTGTTAAGAAAGAAATTAAGCCTTGAAATTAACAGACTCAACAACAGACAAAATTGGAGAATCAGTTTACATCCTCCTCTGACAGATACCAGCAGTAAAACATTTCAGCACCATTATACTAAATAGCAGCACTCTTGAAACACTGTTTGTCTAATCAGATTA